ACCCCCCCTGCAGTACTGCCTTCAATTCTAGGATCCTCAGCACAAGAAGGACATGAACCTGTTGGAGCAAGTCCAGAGGAGGCCATGAAGATGATCCAGGGGCTGGAGCACCTCCCTAGGAAGATGGGCTGAGAGAGTTGGAGTTGTTCAGCTTGGAGAAGAGAAGGCTTCAGGGAGACCTTAGAGCAGCCTTCCAGTACCTAAAGGGACCTACAAGAAAGCTGGGGAGGGACTTGTTACAAGGGCATGGAGTGACAGGACAAGGGGCAATGGCTTTAAACTGGAAGAGGGAAGATTTATGTTAGGTTTTAGGAGGAAATTCTTCCCGGTGAGGATGGTGAGGCAGTGGCACAGGTTGCCCAGAGAAGCTGTGGATGCCCCATCCCTGGAAGTGTTCAAGGCCAGGTTGGATGGGGCTTTGAGCAACCTGGTCTGGTGGAAGGTGTCCCTGCCCATGGCAGGGGAGTTGGAACTAGGTGATCTTTAAGGTGCCTTCCAACCAAACCATTCTATGATAGTATAAAATGGGGCAATAATGGCTGTGGGGAAATTATTGATAGATTTCTTCAAAGACTGGCACTTGGGTTGATCTTGCTCGGTATTTTAGTTGATGATCTTGGTGGATAAAATAGAATGCAATAATGATGTTTGCTGATGACCCGAACCTGGGAACTGTTTGCAGGGCCAAAGAGGACTGACATATCCTACAGGAAAAATGGAGTGACATTGAGTATCAGAGTAAATAATACCTGTGGGCTGAAATACAGCATGCAAGGTTTGGGGCTGGTACCAAGGAACAAGGAGTTCAGTAACAAGAAAGAAGAGACACTTGAATGCAGTAATGGATCACAGGATGTGAGCAACCGCTTTATGACAGATGACGGTGTGCAGCAGAAGAGCTCATTTAAAGAGAGACACAAAAGTGTGAACTTTCTTGTACAAGACTGTGAGACCTAAACCTGGGATCGTATACATCTGCTCTGGTCATGCATGAAAAAAAAAAGGGATGTGCAGACTTCAGGAAGTGCCAAGAGCTGTTGGGAGGGTGAAGTAAGTGGAGAGTCAAGAGTTTAGCTTATTTTCCTGGGCAAGCTAAAACTGAGAAGGGTCGTAACAGTTTAAAGGTCCCCATTAGGTACAGTATTCCTGCGGAGTTTGTAGTTGCGGCCTACGGTTTCCAATGCTGTGTATTTAAAAGACTCCTGTAAATTCTGGGAAGTCCTGTGATCACCTGATCGGCAAAGGGCCCAGGGACAAGGGAGAGTCTCAGCTGAAACACTCATGTGTTTGTGACTCCGTGCTTTCTTTCCTGGAGGCTGAATGTATTATCCAAGCTCCACTGCCATGCCATCCGGAGGAGGGGAAAAAAAAATCTGAAGCACCTCCTTTTTGCTTGAGGGAAGTGTGTTGCCGTGCCAGTGCCAGCCTTGATGCAGACATCTGTTCAGTGTGAGTCAGGGAGGTGACTTAGGAAGCCAAACACCATGGTTGCCCTCTTTCCTCCTAAAGGCATGTTTGTGATTACAAGTAACACGGAGAATCAGCTGTGTAGAAGAGATCCTGTGTTCTTAGGAGGACTCTGCTGCCTCCCCAAACTGCTAGCAGGAAGTTACATGTGATCAGAACTTTTTTTTTTCTTTTGTTTTGCCTCTTGGAACTTTTTCTGAGTGATGGATGATGCCACAGAATGGCATCGTATCTTCTGTGCAGTTACCCGAAGTATCTTAACTAACCTGGATGTATTTAATTTCCCTTTTGGCTTTTAATCAGCAAAAGTGAATGCTACATCCCCTGCACTGCTGCTGCGTCTTCAAGGAGCTTCCTCAGGATCTGCTGAAGCTGGGGAGGAAGGGGGATGGATGCACTGGTTTGGCTCCCCTTGTGCCTGCATGGCCATAAGTAAGAGTTAACAAAAGCTGCCACCAGTTGGCAGTTTCAAATTTAAAAACAATGTCAGGGCTTTTTTTCTTAAGTTCCAGGTGGCTAAGCTGTCGATCAAAATCGTTGTTATACATGAATGTGGCACTGAATCCATGTGTAACAAGGGTCTTGATGGACAGTTTTTTTTAAAAAGAGAGATTGGGATGGGAACTCTGCCATTCCTGTAGTGCCTACTCATGTAGGATGCTACCTAGTGCATGGGCAGGGGGAGCTCCTTTTCCCTTCGCTCTCAGGTTCTTTTGTGCCCAATTACAGTTACGGTTTGTAATTCTGTATGGCAGTTTTCACCAAAACTCTGTTACTTTGGTAAATATTTCTCTGTATTGAGATTACTTCTCTGATTTTCTGAGTTGTTTGCTCTTATCTGGGGTTACGAAAATGGATGCACCGTGGGATTGCTGAAATTCTGACTCCATCCTGAAAAATATTTCTCGGATTTCACTTTCCAGTTGAGAAATGTTTTCTGGCGCCTCTTCAAGAAGAGAGATCTGTGAACCTCTGTGGCTGACTTGAAACTAAGGGCTGTGTTTACTTGCTTCTGAATTACATAATCTCCAGTTGTTGTTTAAAGGAAGGGAGGAAAACAATTTATTACTTCAAAGCAAACCTTTCTTCCATCTGATATTGATTTAATTTCTTCACCTCTCCTCTGTGGTTTCACATTCCTAGCTGTCCCATCCCACATGTTTCTTCCTCCTCTGTCTCCTAGTAGACAAAGCTATTTGTAAAATCTGTTTTCTTTGTAAGGTATTTTTGCAGCTGTGGTTGGTTCTGCTCTCAAATGACTAATTGCCTCTTGGAAAATTCAGAATTAAGAGAAATATATTTAATATTTCTAATATCTGTGTTTTTCACCCTTTTAATATTATTTTTCAGGGTTTGGGTATCTCCTAATTGACAAGAGTCAAAATACTGATCGCAAGTGAATCCTCCTCAGTCAGCCTGTTGGATGTTTCTGAGAACAAAAGAAGTCATGGCAGAAAATGATGCAATGCCAACCTTACCAAAAAAGTGTGGCCCATACATTTCATCTGTAACCAGTCGTGGCATGAATTTGGTAATTCGTGGTATAGTGCTGTTTTTTATTGGCGTATTTCTTGCATTAGTATTAAACTTGCTTCAGATCCAGAGAAACGTTACTCTCTTCCCCCCTGATGTGATCACAAGCATCTTCTCCTCAGCGTGGTGGGTACCACCGTGCTGTGGCACAGCGTCAGGTAAGTTCAGTCACGTACGTGTGCCTGGCGTGGAGATGAAAGGGTGGATAGGTAGTTATATAGTTAGGAAAAGCTATATGAAATATGTGGAATATACAAATTTCTCTTCCAGCATCACTGCCCTTTTTAAGCTGTTACTATCCTTCTGATCTCCCTGTGTATACACAAATATGCAGGCACGTGTCCAGAAATTGTTCTTCTGCTAACTTGTTTTACTGTAATGTTAGCAGAGCATAAACTTTGCTTTTTCTGCTGGGTTAGAATACAAGTTTAACAGACTTCAGAAGGTGGTGCCACTTGTAACCTTGAGGCTGGATTACAGGAGTGTAGTCTATGGGCAGCCCTTGGAAATACCCTGGAAGTGTCAAATTGTGCAGCGCACAGTACCTTGTTTTGAGCACAGCAAACCACCTTGAATAACACTCTCTTTTGTGGTCCAGCTTTCCATTTGTTCCTCCTTCCAGTTTGAGGTATAGCTTTATCTCTGTAAAGCTGGAAGACCTGACTGCGTCTCAGGGAGTTGAGTCCCGGCCCGCAGTTTGCAGTTATCGGGGCACATTGCACAACAGAGCGCCTCGGTTAGATTCATGTATCAAGTCGGATGATGTGAACATGCTCCATTTCTCCGATGACCGCGTAGGGAGTTGAGGCTTTTGCATGTTTCATTTGAGATGTCTGCTGTAGGTAGTAAGAAATATCCCTTTTTCCTCTTCTTTCTTCTTCAAGTATCAAGGTGTATTCCATGTTACAAGCCTGATGGAATTTGGCTTTTTGCTTGGCTCTGAAGATCGTTGATCCTGTGGGTCAGTTTTGGGCTTTACTAAGGGAATATTCTTAGCAGCCAGTACTGGAGGATTCTGCTTTAGCAAACTTTTACAGTAAAGGCAGTATCTTCCTAGGGGTCAGTTTTAGTAAGATTGAGAAGCTCACATTTCTGGGTATTCATATGAGTCAATAAGCTGGCTTTTCAGTTGGCATCACTCTTTTGCTAATGATAATATTTAAGCCTATTTTTTTTCTAATTGCTTTCTTTTTGATACCTTGTTGAAGTACTACACCCAGATGTCATAGAGGAGCTTGATTTGAAAGGAAACTCTCCAAATATCTCCTTTAATATGTCAGTTTTGTTCTCTTGTGGAAATGCATTTGGATGTTATGGTGGCAGTTGCATACCTGCTTTATCTGCTAGTTGTCTTAGTCCTCATTCTGTTGTCTTGCTGTGACTGTTGACTAATTTTTGGTTTGTATCCTGCATTTGCTGCATTTTTCTACTTTAAACTGATTGTCTTGACAAACATGTCTGGTAAAGGTTTGATCTTCTACATATGGAGTAATGGGGGTTGGAATGACAGAATCCCAACTTACAGCAGCAACGCGTAAGGTTTGCGAAGTTCACTGTAATTTTTGCACTGTCAGCTGTTGGCATCAGGCTGCATCTTGTGCTCTCTTGGGTCCTCTGAGAACACTGTCTGCAGCTGCGTACAGGGAAGTCGTGAAGGCTAGGTCTTGCCATCGTTTCAGAAGAAACTTGGGGGCCTTTCTGGTTCTCATGGTTTGGTGGTTTTGATGGAAAGAATGGATATGGTTTGTAAGGTGTAGTCAGTCACCTGCTAGGTATTTGTGCTACTTGATTTTAAGCCACCTGATTTAAAGATATTACTGCCTTAATTGGCTTTTCCCAGCAGGAGTGACCTCTGTTGGGGTGTCTGAGTTCTTTCGTTTTCATTATCAGTCTTTTATTCTCAATTTTCTTTCCTTATCTTCTCTGCTAGTGTATATACAGGGAATGTCTGTGGTAAATGCTGATAATTCACCCATTTTCTTACCATTCATACTTGCACAGCCTTCCTGGAATTGACATGAACAGTTCTCTGCAGTATGGCTTACTATTATGAACAGAATAAAGGTATTTTGCATATTTATAATCAGTGGTCATCGAGGCTGCTTTCAGAGAAGTCCTTTCATCCGCCACTGTTGTTAGTCATCAGTTTGGCCTAATGCCTTTGGCAAGAAAATTGCTCAGGGAGTGTTTTTTTCCTCTCCAGCTTTAGTGGTGATTTATTTTCCTGAATCCTGGAGATCTGTTTCCTCTCTGGCAGAATAAAGAGCATTTGCCATAACATACCTCCAACAGCATGCCAGGCTGAGGGCACTGGAGTCCGTATCGATGACTCAGGCTCTGCCCCCACCTCCTGCAGCACCAGTTTAACATTAAGCACGAGCGTTATTCCTCAGCAGTGTTGGTAACAGTCTTTTTAGCTGTAATTGCAGTAGGGAACATATTGAAGAAATGAAGAAATGTTCAAAGAGTGTAGCAGTTCCCTGGGGTTGAAAGTCCTGTTTGCTCTTTGTATTCAACAACTACCATAGGCTCTTGGCTTTCCCTCTTCTGTGTGAGCCTTTATAGTAGCATTGAAGAAGAGACAAACATTGTCCAAACAAAACTGCTTGCCACAACAACAACAACAAAAGAAGACACAAAATATTGATGTTGTAAACCATACTCTGCCCTTACTGTGGTGTGTTTGTTTTGCAGTTATTTAAACATGTATGTTTGATATGTGAAATTTTCAAAAGCGCCAGCCTGCAAGGTATATTACTGCTCTTTTTGAACTACTGTGTGAGGCTGCGGATTTTGGTAGGGTGCAGAGCTCTTTCATCCTCCACCCCTAGTTCAAATTGCCTCTGTTTTGCTACTTCTGCCAGGTCACTGCTGCAGTGGTTCAAGATGCTGCTGAAGCTTTACAGGGCTTTTTCAAGTAATGAAATTGTTTGAAATTCCTCCTCTTTTACAATGTATGTTTTGTACTATTTATCCCTGAAAGATCTGTTTTAGTAGTGACAATGATTGTCAAAGTCTAGATAGTCTTTATTTTAGTTAAATATTGCCAGTGCTGTAACTTTTGGGCCTTTTTTCTTTCCTGTCTCCACAGCTGTGATTGGGTTATTGTACCCATGCATGGACAGACATCTGGGAGAGCCACATAAATTTAAGAGAGAATGGTCCAGTGTAATGCGATGTGTAGCAGTCTTTGTGGGAATAAATCATGCCAGCGCTGTATCCTATATTCTAATGAAATTGGCGATAACAAATGGGTTTCCACTAAAACAAAGCTCACATAGTCAGTCATGGTGAATTGTTGTTAAAAGATATAACATGCAGCATTTTGCAAGGGAAATGCAGAATATGTGTTAGTGTCAAACTGTCATAGCAGTATTGGAGTTGATAAGTCTCACGTCTTTTCATTCTGAAAAATCTTTTCATTAGAAATGTCTCAATGTTGGGCTTTGTCTTACTTAAAGTCTTTATTTTCTTTGAATAATTAAAGTAAGTGTGGGGAAGTATTTATGTGGTAGGTGTTACAGAAAAGTGCTTTGAGACATTCCAAGGGTTGATGTCCTTTTAACAGCGTAGTAAAAGGTTGAAGCCCAGTCTTGAGGTCATCACTGAAGCACATGCACTTTGCAAAGAATGGAGATAACTCTGGACCAGGTAATACCCAAGACTACGCAAAGCAAGTAAGCATTGTTGCCCCATTGAGTAAATGATGCCTTGATGCTAAGAAAGTAGTTACCATTCCTGTGGTTGTTCAGAAAGAGCAATTAGAAGTCAGCGTGTTGCAGCACATTATACTCCTCCTAATCGTGTAGCTATTCAGATACATCCTTGCACAAGTGTGCTCAAAACTGGTGTCCCTTCCCTCTGAAGTAGCTGGGGATATAGTGGGTGACAGGGTGCTTTTCACTTGGACCGGCACACCTTACTGGCAGTCCTGTGAGTCTTAGTGGTTTTGTGTAGTCATGCCTAGTGCCTCCTCTGTCAGATAAAACCAGGATCTGTCTGTGAAAACTGGGTTCTTGTAAACTAGAAAGAAAGTTGATCATCTCTAGAACTCTCGTCTCCTTCAGTGTCAGCTCCAACATGGTTTGCAGAAACCGTGCTAAGAAGTTCTGATTGTGTGTTACTGAATCCTGTCATTTCCAGGAAAAGAGGGCAGGTTAAGTGATAGATGAGAGAGCTGGCTGAATAATAACCAAGGTGGCTTGGCCCTCGGATGGGTTTCATTGTTGTTTGGTTTTGTTCCCACCAGCCATTCTATCCATTACGGCCGGATGAGCTGGAGCTGCCAAGGTTCAGAGTCATTCCCACTGTCCCCCACAAACCTTGTTCTCCTTGCCAAAAACACATTAATCTGGTCCTGTGGTTCTCGCTGACCTGGACTGTACCTATGTTTAAGCATATGCAACTTCACCTCTTTTAAGAAATACAGGAGAATTGACAGCTTCTCTCTGCGTGGGTCAGATTATTTACAGCAAACCTTCCTGCAGTTTTCTAACAGCTGTTAGACATATTCCAGGACATTGTTAATGTACTGTCTGTATTTCCTCCTTGACAGCTTTCCAGACTGCTTTCTTTTCAGCTTATTACCAGTTCTGCACATTGCTGTATTTGGTGTGGTTTTTGGTCATTTGACACTTTTTCTGATGCTATTGATTTTTATCCTGTAATTATTTATTTCAGTTAGTTGAACTTCTTTCTCATTTCCTCTAGGTCTCTCTCCAGGTCTCTGTGAGAAAAGAAGGCAGTGTTTTTATATTGTCATCAAATTTGCTTTCAGGCTTATGAAACTTGACAGCTTCCTTTTTAATAATCTGTTTTGGACAGGAGTAGTGAGGATGAGTTAGTATTTCCAAAACATTTTGAAGAATGGGAAACACTACAAAGGTATCTGGAGTGACTTCACGCTTTATCATAGCATTGACAAAACTGATTTTCAGTGTTGGTTTACATGAATACTTTAACAGTAATATTATTTACATTTTGTTTTATAGAAAACATTAGCATTTTAAATGTTTAGCTGAATGTAAACTAGCATGTAAATTAAGCAAAATTGCAATTAAGTAAGAGTGATAAATACCTTTTTTTCAGTAAATCCCTGTCATTTGGAGGGGTCTAATGCTAGATTTAAGATTTCATGCTTAGTGTAATAAGGGACCAGGTAAGGATGAGAGATCCTTATTCTGAACAGTAACATGTGCATTGAATGTCTGTATAAAACGCCTGCATTGTCTGGTAGGCCTGTAGTCTCTTTGCTCTCATAGAGGGCTAAGATGCTAAAAATGTGAAGAAGTGTCATAAGTTTTTAGTTCCCTGATATATTGGCCACTTAAAGGCTTATTTCCTGATAGCTGTGTGATAGCTGATACAGCTAGTGCTGTATTTTTTTACGGTATTTTTTTCTGTTATGCCAAAATATGATGAACAGCGTGAAGAGAAGTTTTACACTTGTATATGATATTTCCAAGCTTATCCTTAACAATCAACACAGAAAGTGGATTTTGCCAACAATATCCAGTTGTCTCTGACGTTAGCAGCCCTGTCAATTGGACTCTGGTGGACGTTTGATAGATCACGAAGTGGCTTTGGTCTTGGAGTAGGAATTGCTTTCCTGGCCACATTGGTGTCACAACTTCTGGTATACAATGGTGTTTATCAGTAAGTATTTACTCCTTTAAGGTTAAGTGAGAGTGGCTTGAAGCTATAACATAAAATCAGAATAACTGGAAGGGTAGAATTTGACATGATTTCCAAAGCTGTCAGCACTTAATTTTGAGTGTAACATAGATTGGACTTTTCATGAAAACTTTTATGTGTTTGCAAGTGAGACAATGTCCTGGTTTGGAAAATGCCTAGGGGGGAGGGAGGGGTTAACAGAGAGCGTCTTCCACATGTTTTAAGTGCTGGCCCAGCCTTAAATGGTGACAGAGTTTTAGTTGGAAGTTGCTTGTTTCAATAAAATTGCCACCTTACTAACAATGTAACATGCTTTTTTCAGTTGAACAAGTGGGATTATAATCAGTAAGAAGCCTCCTTTGTTATTTGCTGCAAGTAATTACATTTCTATAATGTGTCTTTTGAGTTGAAATGCCCTAATATTTAAATTTGTGGATTTGACTTATGTGATTGGAGGACTCTATGTATTGCACAATGTTGAGCTCAAAAATGTGTGTTCTTTTCGAGATACACGTCTCCAGATTTCCTTTATGTTCGTTCCTGGTTGCCGTGTATATTTTTTGCTGGTGGAATAACTATGGGCAATATCGGCAGGCAGCTGGCAATGGTAAGTTTGGAGGGGGGGGTCGATTGCCTTCTAGTGAAAGTTTTAATCTATGTGTCATTCCTTCCCTCATATATATCAACCGACTCTTTGACTTGTGGATGTGGAGTAGGGTAGAAATTAGTAACCGTTGCTTTTTGATCTAGTTAGTGAGCTGTTAGTACTGTTATTCAGAGCACAGCCCATGCCTTTGCTCTGTACACTTTCAGTTGCATACTTCTAGACCTTTCAGGACCAGGAGCTAAATAAGAGCTCCCATGTTTGGGGAGAAGTCAGGCCATCCCCGAAGTCTGAACTGCTCTTTCTGCTGCTCAAGGAGACAGAAGTGGCAGCCAACAGGGTGTGCACAGAACTTAGGGAGGCCAAACTTAATCTGAGTGAAGTGTAAGCTAAGCTATTTTATCACCCATTTTGTAGAAGAATCCCCCTCATAACAGTCTTTTTCATTAGTTATATAAATTAGTGTTATTAACTTTGTCAACTTCTGTTTTTCAGTACGAATGCAAAGTCATTGCAGAGAAGTCTCACGAGGACTGAGGAGAAACAATACGCACCTTTTAAACAGGAAAATATCTGACAAATGACTGTTGGAGGAGCATAAGGAACACTTGACTATGAAATTGCCAAAATGCAATTTTTTTTTTCCCTGGAGTGGTATACTTTACTGCAATCTGTGATTGCTGCTTCTATAGAAACCTTGATGTCTGATTTTGATTACTGTGAAGTTACAATAGTATGCAATACATTTGACAATATTGGTTCAATTATAGGATTCTTTTTTCCAAATCTAAACTGAGTTTGCCATAAATTCTTGTCTGTCCATAATGTTACAGTGCCAAACTGAACCTTCGCACTACGTTTCTGTAGCTGAAACTTCTTGCTTCACTTTGTCTTGAAAGTTTTGAGGAATTTGTTCTTAGTAACTCAGTGAAAGAGAGGGGATTCACATTTAGGAATGAAGATCTTCTCTTCTCATGATGATAGCCCATAATATCTTTATGAAATTCATGGATTACAGGTGAGCTTTTATGCAATAAGTAACTGATTTCTGCTTATTAACACACTGTATCATTCTTCTTACTCACATCACAAGTGAGGAAACTTAATATGAATTATATGGGTTATTGCCATAGCATTTCGTCTCTGGTATATGCCCAGTATCACAGAACACAGAAATGGAAACTGAGGCTGGAAATTATTTCCTATTTTTGACTCTGGTTCAACCAGTATACATGTTTGTGTGTGAATTTATGTGGACCATCATCAGATGTGGACAGACTCTGAACCTACTTGTTGTGTTGAGTAACGGGATACAATTTGGGTCATTCTTGTACAGTCGCTTAAGCTGACTTGTGTTGATCCCTTATGAAAAAAAAAATCTTTGGGAGGTTGTATTGCAAAACTTAGTTCTGCTGAACTAAATTAGCCTCTACCATATAGTGTCCTAAAACCCTCCTTTACCAATGTTACTCTTGATAGTTCTTGTCTACTACCTGCTCTTTTTGCAGGGATCAACAGAAAGAGGCAAAGCTGTATTTTGGGTACTGCTGTAGCCCTTATTGCTGTGACTATGGTCCATAAATGCATTTGTTCTTACAGCAATTTTCTGAAGTAGAGAAATAGTAATACCCCTATTTTGTAGCTGCCTGTGCACAGAAAGTCTGATAGGACAGAGGGCTGAAGTAGGCTGTGTGCTAGTCGGTTCCCTTCTTGAGAAGGATTTTGGTCTGTGACCCATATTTGGGGGCATACGTGGAATTTCCTCCTGGCTTTGCAGCTCCATTTTAAGACCATGAGATAAAAGAACTTGTGGAAGAAGACAGAAAGCAGACTTCAAGAGGACACTGCTAACCTGTGCCAGCAATGAATTTGGCTTGGGATGTCTCTGCTTTGTTTTTCCCCTTCTGTCTCTGTGTTGATGATGTTTTAATGTATTTGTTTTCCTTTTTTTGTCTTGAAGTACTATTTTTTAAATCTTCCATGAAAGGTTTATAAGATATGTTACAGTCACCTAGGGAGACTGGAGTTGGTCCAAAGAACAAATAGATGTTTAGACAAGTTTTTATTAATAAATGTGTGTATACATTGTACATGAAGCTTGAAATAGGCAACTCTTTTTCAGTCTTACATGCTTATCTCTGAAAAGTCTGAAAAGTATGCAATGGAGTGCTTCCAAAAGCATTGTAACAAAAAAGGTGGTCACAAAAGGAAAATTTCTGGAATGGGGAAGTGTAAAAATAATAAATAAGCAAATGATGTATAAAGAGCTTGGTTCTGCAGCTCCACAAAGTTTCATCAGCTTGTCACAGTTGCATGACAATGCAGCACCTGAAGCACGCTTTCATTGGGTAATGTTTCAGGGAGGCACTTACAGATGCGCTTTGCTTTAAGCAGAGGTAGAACATGTTTAAGTAGATCCCTGACTAGAGATTTTCTTTTAATCAAACTGTAGGGCAATAAGAAGCATTTTATTAATAAATCCAAGAAACTGTTGGGGCATGAAGTAAGGGTGAGTTTCTTTAGGCAGGCTCTGGCATTTCACTGAAGAAGCTGTTGGGTCCCTGTCCGTACAGTATTTTGCCTCATCCGCCTTCTTTACTTAAACAAATGGCCTCAGCTTGGTGGACAGCATGATGAGTCCCTCTTGAATTATCAGGGCATGAATGGCATAAAAATTCAGATGTTTCTTATCCTAACTGTAGGGAATAACATGGTACCTCAGTAGCCAGTGTGCTGACTTGGTAAACAGTTTAGTTTCATCATGACCAATACAACTGGAGATGAGTAGTTTTTTTCATTCACTTGGTGGTAGAACTGCTTTTACCTGCCAGTCTAAATATTTACACAGAAGAAGCCTTGTGTATGTTAAAATGTGCAGTATGTGAGAAGTGGTTATTGTGCATCTGTGGCACCCACTTTATGACACTTTGCACTTGGGTTCATCTAAACCTGATTAGACTGTGCTGTCCACGAACTTCTTTTAAATTTCATTTTGGAAATTTTGAGCTTGTTGTGCAAAGGCAGCAATCATCCAAAATAAATTTGGGTGGAATCCTTTATTATATGTGTTTTACAATTTTTATTCTTACTTGACTAAAGTCAATACAGGATTCGTATCTTGGATGTCGTATTTTTTCAAACTGCATTGTAATTTTATGGCTGATGCGTTCAAACCCTGAAAAAGGTTCATGATGAGACTGCTGACACAGCCTTAACTATGGTGGTATGAACATGCTGCTACTGTAAAGTGTGTAATTATAACATTAGACTGTCTTAAAAATGTTGTTCTATAGAGAATGAATAAGGTCTATTTTAGATACAACTTTATAAGCACTATAACCCCTTCACTACTTAAGCATTGTAAGGTCTATGCTGTTTAAACTGGCAAATTGCTGTTAAAAGCAAACTGTGCATTAAATACAATTACAACCTTATTTGATAGGTTTCTTCTTTCTTTAAGAAATGATACTGATTTTTAAAATACACTGAGTTGCCTTCTGTCGGCACTGTTGTAATAATTTTGGCCATTGAGCTGGCATATTGGTTGCACAAAATACCTGTCTAGAAATACTAAAAAAGGAGCAGGCAAGATCAAATCAGCAGTGATTCCATCATAATTAGCATGCTGAGCAGCCTTTGAAAATTTGCCCCTTTGAATCTGCAGTGGGAATATTTGAGCTGGGGGAAAATAAGCCAGATAACTTCAGTCGCCATACAGAAAATAGGAATTTAGATACACATAACTGCTATGAATATGAAAAAAAAACCCAAACCCACAAATGGGAGGAAATCCCTTAATATATTTGTATTTATTAATGTTCCGGTCTGGATATGAACTGAATGTTATTCTGGTATTCACAGACTGTCCATTCATAGTGCCCATCACTCTGTCTCAAAAAAGATGTAACAAAGAGAGGTTTAGAAATGTGTAATGAAAAAGCCTCCGGGCAGAGGTGAAGAAGGGGTGGTAAGAGAGGTTCATCAGTGTTTGAGATGCAGGGCCCGCAGCAGGGCAGCACCACAAGTGAAAGCGGGAAAGAGCGCAGGGGGTGAATGGAAAAGACCTGTGTTTGTGTTGGCAACCTGTGACCCAAAAATACTAACTCTGCTGTCAAAATGCAGAGTCCTGGGCATGCCAAGTGTCTGACCAGGCAAATTACGGCCAAGGGTAGAAATAACTGTAATGTTACCTAGTCATAGCACTAAGATCAGTCAAAAGCACACTGGCGAAGGTGCTTTGCTGGAGACTTAACCTCTCCCTTTCATCTGTAGCCTCTCCATAGAGCATCGCCCTGGGGAATGGAAACTCCGCATCCTTCCTGCCCAAGTTCAGCCCGAGGGTGTCGAAGGGAAAGTTGCCCATCTCAGAGAGAATATTCCAGCTGCCGGGCTCTCGCAAAACATATCTCGTACCTCCCTTTATAACGTGGCTGCTGTAAACAGCTAGAAGGAGAGTGAACAAAGAAACTTTTCCTCTGTAGCTTCTGTGTTTCCCTTCTGCCATCTGGCTGGGAGCTGCCGCTGGGACCTATGGGCATACACCAGTCTTCCCTTTTTATTTCTCCCAGCATGTAAGGAAAGGACATAATTTTACCAGCTGCGTCACCCCGGACATTTTGCATATGCTTTTTACATCTTGGAGCAGCGTTACCAATAATTCCTAACGGTAACGGATGAATTTAACCTGTGGAAGTGACGTTAAATATCAAATACAGTGCTTATAAAACTACATGCACAGCTGGGCAGAGGGAACGCATGTCTCGCCGTGGGAATAGCTATCTAATGCTGTTAGTTTTGATGCCAGTACTAAATGCAAAGCATGAGTAATTTTGCAGCTTAATGTTCAGTACTAAATAGTAAATGAAAGGTCAGTCTAACATGTTAACTGTCATGGAATAGTAAACGCTACTTTAATTGCTTCATGCAGCCAGCTCGGATTTTTGGTGTGTCTGTTGTCATGTTTTGAGCGGCATGGTCCAGAGCCTTGTCCTGATTACCTCCCCCTGGTCAAATGACAAAGCCTCAAATTAAAGGATAAACTTTATGCCTGGGTTTTTCAGGCAGCGTATTAGGAGTTTGTGCTTTGAATGCTTAAAAAGCCATGCTGGGGAAGAGGTAGGGGTTATTTCATGATCTGATCGGAGCTGAAATCCAGGTTGAAATGTAGTTTTGCATTTTCTTGAGGTTTTCCTTTCTGAAGCGCAGAAGTTTAGCAGCTGCTGCTGCACTTTCACACTTATTTTGTTTTTTAGCCTGCCCAGCACTATAGCAGATAGGAAACAACATAAACAAATAGAATATAAAGGGAAAAAGCTGCTACTAAGTTTCCCCAGGCCCGGCTGGTTGAGAGCTTGGTGTGCCACGTACATCTGCATCAGACACACAACCTGCAGCGTCCCCAGATTGAAGTTCATGGGATTCGGTTTCTGTACTGGCAGCACTCGTGCCTTGACTTTTGCACTTAAAACCCTCTGTGCAGGCCATGACCTGTTGTACTGCAGTTATGCAGGGATATGGGCAGACATTGCAGAGTATTCGCAATGCCAAAGTCCACAGGTGTAGCCATAAGGTCTGCTTTTTATGAATTTGTTGGTAGAAATCTTGTAATTGTCTCTTTTAAGCAAACATGGCAAAGTATTAGTTGAAAGAAAAATCTGGATTTATAAATATGTTGCTGTCTGAATTCATAATGTAATTCTGCTATTTCTGTTCTCTGATTAGTTCAATGTATGCCTTGTGTTACATGAGATAAACCAACATTTCAGATATTTAATACTTTTTTGGTAATCAAACCTCAAAGAGAGATTTGTTTCATGCAATTATTCAGGCAAAATGTGTGAACTGAAAAGAAAGCTGGGAGGAATAGGGTTGCAACTTAATTTACCGGATAGAAATTATGCAAGGAAAAGCTCCAACATTTTGCATAACGTTGCAAGAAGGAAAAGGACAGTAAGTGATCCTTCTGATTTCATCCTGGGTTTCAAAACAAGAGGGGAAGGGGAGCCTTACAGATGCAGTGCATTTGTATTGATGACTTCTGATCTTCAGCTGTTCGTCAA